TAAAATATTATGTCAAACTCAAAAGGTTTTAGCATTGTCTTTATTTATAAGAGGGGTGAGGAACCTGTTTTGAGTCAAGGGTTACTGACCCACAGAAAAGTCAGTTGGGGCCACACAAGTGAGATGCAAAAAAAAATTCAACAACCCTCCAAAGCCCCCCAAGCCTCACTAATGTGGTCCCAAATGTGCTGGTGAGGTCACAAATGTGCTGGTGAGGGCAGGGGACAGAGTGAAAGTGGGTGCTGGTGCTGGGGCTGGGGAGAGGGTGCTGCTGGGTGGAAGGATGCTGGCTCAGGTGGCGGGCTGATGGGGCAGGCAGGCTGCAGGCTGCTGGGGTCAGGGACGTGGTCCTGCTGGGCACTAGGGTGACTTGCAGGGTGCTGGGACAAGGAACAGGGTGCTGCTGGGTGCTAGCATGGATGGCAGGGTGCTGGGGCCAGGGCCAGGGTGGTGCTGAGTTGTGGGGTGAGAAGCAGGATGCTGGGGCCAGGGCCAGGGTGGTGCTAGGTGCTAGGGTGGATGGCAGGGCTGCCAAGGAGCGGGATAAGGATGGGGTGCAGGATCTGGGAGGGAGGTGGAGGGCAGAAGGGGTCAAGGTCTGGGTGGTAGTTAGGGTGCAGAAGCAGGCTAGATGTAAGGTGTTTGGCCAGGGGGAGGGAGCAGGACCAGATTGGGGGTAGGATGTCTGGCTACGAGGGAGGGGGCAAGAAGGGGGCTTGGGTAGTGGACCTCCCTGATCTGGCATCCTCTGGACCTGACTGGTCCCAGATGAGAGATTTTTGGACCAGGGGAGGTCATTTCAGGGCTCCTGGTTCCTCCCCTCCCCACTAGACTTCTTTGCACCTCTATCCCCTGCAACCCAACTGAGCTGCTCACTCCTGCTGGTTCCCTGCACCTCCCACAAAACCATCCCCCACAATCCAAGGGAGTGCAGCACCAATTCCCTGCAGCCCCTCACATCCCAGCTGAGCTGCCCATCTATTCCATATGCTCTCCCCCATCCACCTCCACACAGCTGAACCCTGCACTGGTTCTCTGCATGCCTCCCCCACAGCACAGCTGAGCCCCATTTCCCTGTACCTCCTCCAAACCCCACAAAATTGCTGAGCTAAGCGATGATTCCCTGTCCCTCCCTCCCCTTGAGTCTAGCCCCGGTTCCTGGCACCTCCTCTTGCAGCCAAACTGAGCTCTGAACTACACACACACACACACACACACACACCCTGCAGCCCAGCCCAAGCCTCCGGACCTCCCCACTCTGCAACCTAGCTGAGCTCAATTTCCCTGCACCTTCCTCCAAACCATGCAGACATGCTGAGCCAGCGCTGATTCCCTGCCCCTGCCCCTGCCTCCTTTCTTCCCTCCCCTTGGCTGTGTCTCCACTGGCACGATCTTGCACCAAAACTTGCTTCCTGCCTACACAGGCCGCATGTTCCTGCGCAAGTACACTGACATTCTCATGTATGAAATCAGGGCTTCTTGCGCAAGAACTATGATGCTTCTACTCAGGAATAAGCCCTTTTGCACAACTGTTCTTGGGCAAGAGGCCAGTGTGGACAGGCAACATGAATGTCTTGCACAAGAAAGCCCTATGGCTAAAATGGCCATCGGCACTTTCTTGGGCAAGAGAGCATCCACACTGCCATAGATGCTCTTGTGAAAAAGCACAGCTCGCACTTGGCAGTGTGGATGTGTTCTTGCACAAGAACTCCTGCACAAGATGTTCTGGTGCAACAAACCGCCAGTGTAGACATAGCCTAAGAGTTTCCTCGCATGAGCAAAATGAATTTAGTGTTGTGCACCAGTACTGAGTTCATGTGGCTTGTTTGTTCATGTGCCACCCAAGTTATTAATAAATATTTTTAAACCTTTACCTTTTGCTTCGCGGAACCCCAGGGTTCCCTGGAGCACCAATTGGGGTAGAGAAATCATCATACCAAAGACAAGAGTATCTTTTCAAACAGTGTCCTGCTAGGCTATTGCTGCTGCAATTTTCTGGATCAGCAGCTTCTGGATCAATTTCTTGGAGTGGCAGATTTTGTTTCCCCAGCAACTTATCATGAAACACTGCACACCTGTCATTGGCATTTACTTTGAGAATATGAATAGTTTTAATCAAGTCTCCACTCACCCATTCAATTTCTCTTCATTCCTAATGCTCATCATCACATTGAATGACCATTCTAGTAGTGAATACAGAGCCAATTTTATTCAGTATAGGGATAACTATTGAACAAATATCTGTATTTGTTTTTTAACAATCCACAATAAATGGTAGACTGGTTTTTATGAAAAACTGGGACATTTCAGGTGTCCTGAAAAAACTTCCCAAGATACTAGAATATCATATGAAAAAGCAGAACATAACATCACTTCTATTCCAAATAGTCAAATACTGCTCATCTTACTCAGGCAAATACACCCATTAAGTCAGTGCTGCTACAGGTTAAACTTCTCTAGTCCGGCACTTTCTGATCTCGCAACATCCATCTTCTGGCATGATTTTCGTTAGCAGGATGTCCAATTATCACGGCTATGGCCAAGTTTTCTGCAGTCCCATAAAGTTTGTTTACAGCCACCAGTCCTGGCTATCAGTGTTCTTTGCTGTTATTTAGCTCTTTTTACCCCTAAATAACTTCTAAGAGCCCATTAAGCAGTGGAAGTGTTAGTAATGTTGCTAGACAATATTGACCTCCCATGGTTTAGCAAATTCTCTGGCTCAGCACTGGTCAGATTTCGATGGTGCCAGTCTAGAGAGGTTCAACCTGTACTCATGTAAGGAAAGTAGGATTTGCTTCAGAGCAAAAGCAGTAGGACGACAATGTAATCAAATACAACTTTTGCATCATCTGTGTTTTTACAAACACCTTCAAATTGCAAAAACATTTAATAACTGAGGGATCTAGCATATTGTTGACTAATAAGGTCACAATTTGTGTTTGGAAGCCTTCATGTTCTTCACAGAATTTTGCTGTTTTTGTCACAATGGCATAAAGATTTCCATTAAACCTGATGCTCATAGGTATTCCACAAAAGTTAGGAGCCTCAAAATCTCTGACAATCTGGCACTCAGGTTTAATGGAAAATCTTTATGCTATCATGACAGAGGCAGAAAAATTCTGTACAGAACACAAAGGATTCTAAAAACAAATTGTGACCTTGTTGGACAGTAATGGGAGTTGGAGGCCTTTGTAGTTCTGGGCCTATCTTAGCAGAGTGAGTTTCACAATATAATTTGAGAGAAATATTGAACAAAAACTGTCATAGCAAGCTACCTGTTCACCAGGCCTGTTTAATTTGCTACAAAGACCTGATCCAAAGCGCACTGAAGTCAGCAGAAGTCTTTCCTTTGAATTCACTGAGCTTTGGTTTGGGCACTGAACATGCATTGCTTTCAGCTACTTTACACTGTCAGGCTACATGCAGCTTCTAAGTACTGCAATAGACTTAGTGCATAACGCCTGTATTTGAAACTTAGGTCAGATTGTACCTTCAGGCACAGCCCTGAGCAAAGGTAAGTGTGACTATATAGCACAGGTAGCCTCAGGAAGCATTGTCCCTCAGAAAATTTCCTTTGAGGAACATTTCCTCTCTTGCATTGGATTAGGAATCTGCTAGAATCCTATTTAATTTGTAAGCACTTCAGGGCAGGGACTGTTTATTTGTTAAGTGGCCAGTACAATGAGAATTTACTCTTGACTGGCCCATAGACATGACCATAATAAAAATGATTCATAAAACAATAATACAGTATATACCCTGTTCCTTCCTTGGTTTCCAGCCAGCTTCGATGGTTGGCACGCATGAGAGTGGAACCATGTTTCAGCCTCTCCTTTTTCACTCACTCACAGTGCAGGAGAACACAGATTGCCCATTTGTGCCTGTGCCTGCAGTCTAGGGGGATCTAATACAGTCATGAAGTACTTGGTGTCAACAGGGGAAAGGGGGTGGGGAGAGGGAGGGACAGAATTGATGAGCCACTGAGCAAGGTGGAGGGGGGTGGATCTGTACTTCCTTAAGGGACTGGGCCCAAGGGGCGGTGCTGGGAGCAGCCAGTCCTCAGTGCAGCCTGGAGTGCATCACCTAGGGCTCCTGTGACGATTTAAAAGAATTGGGGCACAGGCCACCACCACAGCTGTAGTAGTAACAGTGGAGTGCCTGGGAGTTTAGGGCCCTTTTGAATTACCAGGCCCCAGGACAGTTCCTCTTCCCTCTCCCTCTCTATTGGCAGGCCTGGGTGGGGTGAGGGGCTTCATTCTCCTCTCCTATTCTGTGTGTCTGTGGTAAATGCAGTCACCATCCCTGTACTTAGCTATATATTGACTTCTGCTTAGAGGGTGGTTTTCCTGACCATATGAGATTTTTGAAGATTTCTCATCCTGTATTGGGACAAATTCTAATTTCAAAAACTAAAAATCTGGAGAAATAATCAGTTTGGTCAATCAAGCTATGTTACTTCAATAATTTCAGATGTTTCATTTTGCTTTGGAATTTTTTTTATCATTTAATTTTTTGCTATACATAGCACAAGAGTGTTATGAATTGGAACACTAGAATTTTTCATGTTGATAATGTAGAAATGAAATATTTCAACAATTTCAAAATGAGTTATTTTTAAAAAAATGTTTGCACTGAGAAATTAATTCAAACAAATCCTTTCCAGCCAAAAATGTTGGTTTTGATAACCAGTTTTGTCAGAAATAATCCTAACCAGCTCTGCTTCTCTAACTTTTATTTTACTTTACTGTGATGTTCCTGTTCTGTTCTAAGTGCTAGCCTGTTCTAAGTGCTATCCTGGACTGATCATTAATTTATCAATCCTGGCAAAAGCAAAATACATGAATAAAATACTGCATAGTCAAAATAGATTATATATAAATCTATGACATGAGAAAAATCATGTATGACATGTTAGTTTAATCAAAAGCATGTATTGTTTTTAGGCATCAGACATAGAACAAGATTCATTATTATGATTAATTATGTTTGCCACTCTCCAGGTACAAAGCAATTGTAAATCCCATGGATATCCAAACATCCAATGCAGTTCTGTGGACCTGTTTTAAAGCTTTTGCCATCTGGATAATCTCCATGATGTTAGCAGTTCCTGAAGCAGTCTTCTCTGAAGTGGCCCACATCAATGGCACAGATAACATCAGTTTCAGGGCATGCATACCATACCCACAGACAGATGACCTGCATCCGAAGATCCACTCTGTGCTGATATTCTTAGTATATTTCCTTATTCCGCTCACCATCATTAGTATCTACTACTATCATATTGCTAGAACTTTAATTAAGAGTGCACACAATATTCCTGGAGAAAATAGTGAGCATTCTAAAAGACAGGTAAGTTATTTGAAGTGCCCTTGTGTGGTAAAAAAAATTGTCTGTTGTACTCATTTTTATAATAAAAGCACAAAAGCTATGAATACCCTAAGTATAGGCTTATGGATCCAGGTCTAGCCTTACTTCAGAAATCTCCAGGTTTTAAACCATATTTTGCAACAGCTCTAAAAGTAATTTGGAATGAGTATTTTTATTCTGCTACATATGCAATACAAAGAGAAAACAAGCTGAAGATGTGTTTATTTCTTTTCTGTCTTAGCCTTGCAGTAAGAAACAAAAATGATTCAGCTGATGACATTCATTACTATTTATATTGATGTGGCAGTGATGATTTGAGTAATTGTATGTGCTGTTGATTTAGTAATCACTTTTGATTTACTGGGGAAACAAGCGGTAGTTTTCTGATCTCTGTATACATACCTGTTCCTGAGAAGAAATTCAGTGAATTACAGGATAATCTAAAACAAAGTAAAGGGCCTGTTCACCACTCTGGCACTCTGAGTGCAAAAGGTGAGGGCCCACAAGAGAGCTTAAAAACCTTGCCTCTACATGCAACTCCCCCCCAAAAAAAATCACAATACACAGATTTTGGGAGAAATGCTGCCACCATCAAGTGATTTTATCCCTAAAATCAGGAGTGAACACTTGAACCCATCTCCAGGGGTACATGAAGCTCTTTTGCCCCCAAAAAACTTGAAAAAATAAAAGAGAAAAACAAGCTGCAGTTATTAGTAGCTGACCTCCCAGTCTGAGGCATGAAGATACACACAGAGAGATCTTCCAGGACACAAGAATCAAATCATCATCTTAAAAAAAGTGATTTTTTTATTACAAAACAAAAAATAAACTTGATAAAGTATCCTTGGTTGCTAGATGTTACAGAATGACTAAGGAAAAAAAAATTAAAACCCTCCCGGGAGCTGCCAACCTGGTCCCGGGAAAAGGCGGAGGGCTGGGTGGCAGCGGGTGGCTGCCTCGAGCCGTGCCAGCTGCAGGGTCTGCTGGCTGGGTGCTGGCAGACTTGCACCTGGCACGGGCACCGTAGCCAGCCCGTGCCCCTTTAAGGGCTCCGGGGCCGGGAGGGGGGCAGACGAGTTTCCCTGGTGGTGCCCAGAGTGGCCACCAGGGAAAGCTGGGGAGGACTAGCCTCCCACTAGTTCGAATTAAGTGGCTACACAGCCCTTAATTCGAACTAGCTAATTCGAACTAGGCGTTAGTCCTCGTAAAATGAGGTTTACCTAGTTCGAATTAAGCTCTCCGCTAGTTCGAATTAAGTTCGAACTAGTGGAGTGCTAGTGTAGCGCCTATCAAAGTTAATTCGAACTAATGTCTGTTAGTTCAAATTAACTCTGTAGAGTAGACATACCCTCTGTCTCTCTCAACTCTTGGTTTTTCTATCCCACACAGAGAAAGCAAGCAAGGAATCCATATCCAATTCAAATTTTAACACTCTATCTCAGTTGGTTCTCCCGCTCTCTGGGCAACACCCTTTGCTAGCTACCTGAGTTTAACCCCTTAGACACCGGGTGCTGATCAGCACTCCTCCTGTCCATTACAGGTCCAAATCCATTGAAGGTGAAAAAAACCCCTCCTGTAATTTACCAGATTCAAAGCTACTTTTGAAGAGCTGGAAATGGGCTGGATTCAAAAACAGGTAGTAGTGGCCTGGTCTGGATGTGGCTGAAATCTCATAATAGCAGTTTTCATGAAACATTGTTACTATCTTCTGAGTCTTCCACCATGCAAAATAAAGCAAATATCATGAGAATAGGTTGATAATTTTACCTGTGACAGAAACTAAGTACTGAAATATATAAAAAGGTCCGTTCATGTAGGATTTCTAGTCTAGTGGAAACCATGAAGTACTGAAAATCCCCTGAGAAAACCTGTAGTTGTAAGATTTCTCCCTGTTTCTAGTACAAAGTGGCTTGGATAAGCAGTCACATTTTGGGGCATTTCTCTGGATACAACTGTTGAATCTACTAAAGTTCTCTATAATTCAAATTTAGTAGTTCATCCTTCTTGGTATCCTCTATATTACAATATGCTATAAATCTTTGAAACACAGCATTTTCCCAACCAACTCAAATCAATGTGACATATCAACAAGCCATTGCAGCAGCCTACTCATCAATGTAAAATGACACAAGAGTTTTACTATTCAACAAAGTAAATCATTCTAAGGAAAAATGCCTCAAAATCACACAGCCACTTTACATATATGCTTACACTGCTTAATAAAAGATCAATGCTAATGAAAATAATTAGTTAGGGTATTTGCTGCATACATTTTAGACTGTTTCTGTTTCAGCCCCTAAGAAGAGATGCATACATTTTTAGAAGGTAAACAGTTGAACAGAATAATGAAAACATTTCCTGGTGTCCTCAAGATTTTATTTTTATTCTAGCCTGTTTCTTATTCAAAACATACACTTGCTAGCACTGTGTGGACTATTTTCTTATTGTGTGAAATATAAAGAGCCATTTGTGTAACCTTACAGAATAGAAAGAAGAGCTAATTCTCATCACATTCAAAAACTGCCAGAGATTCTTAAAAAAAACAAACAGTATTCACTTTACTTGCTTCTTGAGTTTATCTATTAGATTTAAAAGGGGAGACAGCTTGGCCTATTTATCACTTGACAAGTGGTACAGAATTTGGAATTCAGCTGTCAACCAGAGTTTCCCTAAGAAGAAATACAGATGTGGAACATTCACATATCATATTCCATGTTATCTTTGCAATCTACAGCTATGAACAGCAAGTAAAAAATGGGTGTAAAATCCTACTAGCTCAGAATGGTAGCGCTTATAGCCAATTTTCAACTCACTTTGCACAAGTATAAATGGTTGCACAAAGTGAAAGTTGGTGGAAAATTAGATCCAGTAGGAACAAGAAGAGATCAATAGGTCTGCTGTATGCTCTTCATAGCACAAATTTTGCAGAGGTAGAAAACAGCACACTTTCAATGGCCGTGTGAAACCTACTGGTTCTGGTTTGGATGGGTATTGGCGAAATATACTTCCTGATTTAGTTCACAGGGTTTTGCAACTCTCCAGTGCTCCGAGTTCATTTGAGTTTTTCCAGGAAAAAAAAACAGAGCCAGAAAACATGAATCCTCCACATATGCCCTCTTTTCCACAGCAAACCATGGCTCTTCCAACATTCGAGAGAATATAGTGGCTTTCTACCTCCACTGTCTTCAGGGGTAGAGCATCTCTCGTTTTGTGGTGACTAGAGTAATAGGTAGCCTATTTCATAGTAATGCAATTGGGAACTGCTTCTCTAGTCCCACCTTGGATGCTTTATCAGACCTTTATCTCAGTCTGCATCTGACATGCCACTGATTGCTAAGATTACCTTTTCTAGGAATTTCTTATGAGAATGGTACGAGCTGTGGCATCTCAGCCCTAGAAGAAAATAAGACTTAAGTGCCACTGCATAGCTAAAACTCCATGCATCAAGCTAATGTTTCTAAATTTGAAATATGTTTTTTAAATTTGCCAAGTTTTGGGACACACTCCATAGGATTCTATTTCACCAACCCACTGTTGTGGCTGAAAGTCAAAGTATACTTGGAATTTAAGTCCATCTTGGTGTACTTATCAATGTTAAAAACCCATATATAAAGGCCAGTGTAACTGCAAACAACTAATGATTGATTAAAGAAAGAGAACTGTAAATGAGAAATAAAAGTAAATGAGATAGCAAAAGTAATTTAGCCCTTAAAGGGAGTAATTTTACTGATCTCTGATAGAGTTAATGTAAAGTGAAATGTTATTAATTAAGTCTGTTATGAGGATTAGTTTCATTCTGTTTTGTTAATTTGGGTCCTGTTGATTTATCATCTTAGATGGAAACTCGAAAGCGTCTGGCAAAAATCGTTCTTGTCTTCGTCGGCTTTTTTGCTGTCTGCTGGTTCCCTAACCATGTATTGTACATGTACCGGTCCTTTAATTACAGTGAGATTGACCCATCTCTCGGACATATGATCATTACTTTAGTGGCCCGAGTACTGAGCTTCTGCAACTCCTGCGTCAATCCATTTGCATTGTATTTTCTGAGTGAGAGCTTTCGGAGACATTTCAACAGTCAGCTTTGCTGCAGGAGGAAATCTCATCATGAGAGATCCACAAGTTATCTGCACAGCTCCTCTGCTGTACGAATGACTTCTCTGAAGAGCAATGCCAAGAACACCATGACCACCTTAACTTTACTGAATGGGCACAACTTGAAACAGGAAATGTCATTATGATTTCATCAGTGCAGCACTTGACTTGGGAATAAATCTAAGCTTTTATTTTGTAACTATGTCAGTATCTGAAGGTGCTTTTGCTAATCTTTGAAAAAGAATTGAGCCAGATCTCTCAGTCTGGGATCACTGAATTTCTAACTTCAAATTACAGGCAGTCCCCGGGTTACATGGATCCGACTTACATCGGATCCCTACTTACAAACGGGGTGAGGCAACCCCGCACTAGCTGCTTCCCCCCAGCAGACCAGGGAGACGCGAAGCTAGCACCCCCCCCAGCAGACCAGGGAGATGTGGAGCGGCTTTTCTCAGCAGACACCTAAGCTTGAGAATAAAGGACTGAGGGAAGTGAGGTGTGGGAGAATAAAACTGAGCTCTGAAGAAATGTTTGGTAGAGTTTCCCCTACAATATGTACCAGTTCCGACTTACATACAAATTCAACTTAAGAACAAACCTACAGTCCCTATCTTGTACGTAACCCGGGGACTGCCTGTACTTTCAGAAAGAAATTAATGATATTGCTGAGTGAGAAGGAAAGAATGAGTGTTTCTGATACTGTTTGTTAAGGGGCACAGTTCTGTACATTTAACGTGCAGGAGAACAAAGATGTGGTGTGAACAGTGATGTAGATGACCTAATATTATTTAGAAAATAATATTGATTAACTTTGTCACTTATCTCCTTTTTCAAAAGCGTCTGAGACACGTAGAAGCCTAACTCTCACACAGTAAATCAGTGGGGCCTATGTAACTTATGCACACTTGAAGACTTTACCCTAAATCCCTCAAGCTGGCATCCTCAAGCATTCATGTCTTTATAGTTTGTCTTATGAGACACCCTCTTCCTTCTCATCACTGCCATTTTGCACTCATGTAGCTCACAGTCTCTCCTATATGTGATTGAACAACATACCCATGGCAACCACAGCAGTGGCCTGCATGGAAAAGTCATATCGGGAAGTGTTTCATGTATTTGTATCTATTTCAGTGCAATTACCAGCAGTCAATGAACAGCACTATGTGACCAGCCAGCATTCAGTGGACCAGCCACAAAGCCAGTATCCTAAAAGACTATGATATGGTGTGGAACATTTCAATACTACTACTGCTTTCTAACAATGTTTCAGAGTACCCAGTTAGCTGTAGAACTGGACTGCCAGGATGATGAATGGTAATTGATTGTACCTTGCAAAAGAGACATGCAAAGATCTCCTCTTACCACCTTCATTCTACTACTCTCAGGCTTCATCTAAACTACAGGCTTCTTGTGTAAGGAGCTTTTTGTGGAAGAGATCTTCTGCAAAAACTTCTTGCGCAAGAGCGCGTCCACACTGCAAAAGCACATCGAAAAAGTGATGCACTTTTGTGCAAGAAAGTGTCCAGGCTACATGGACACTCTCTCAAAAGAAAGCACTGATTGCTATTCATAGGGGATCTGTGCTTTTTTTGATTGGCTCTTTTTGCACCAAACCCCTCTGTTGCCTGTTGACACACAGTTTTTTGTACAAGAACTCTTGAGCAAAAAGGAGTTATTCCTCATAGAAAACTGGAATACTCACACTGCAAAAATCCCCCGTTCTTTTGATTTACTGTAAATTTACTTGCACAAAAACGTGCTTGAGTTGTGGATGCTCCACAGGTTTCTGCGCAAAAACAGGTGTTTTTGTGCAAAAACCCTTTAGTATAGATGTAGCATCAGGCACAGAGGTTACAGGGTAGGTGTAAGGTAGTGCAGAGTAAGCCAGAAGAGAGGGGAAATAGATGATGCGAGGAGACATGGTCAGGGTAGACCTGTACCTGGACCATTACAGCAAAGAACAAATTAGCTCAATCTTCAGTGAATCTCAAGTTTGGGCCAAGGCCACATCAGCTGCTGGTCTGGGAACAGGAGAGATGTGATTCCCTTTCCTCTACGTCTGTGCTGATGCTATCCCCTCTGCAGGGATGAATCTGGCTCTGAATCCCTAATGGAGTTGCACTGACTTCAGTCTGCACCTGGGAATGTTTGTAAAAGATTGATTCATCTTGCACTGAATGAATCAATAACCCAACAGTACTTAAGTCAAATATGCATATTAGGGTTGCTCATAATTTCAAAGGAATCAATGCCTCCATGTCATAGTTCCTTCAAGCTCTTTTCATGGTTGTGCTACTATTCAGTACTAGCTGCTGGTAGATCTTTAGAATTGGCTAATCAATGCATCAAACTACAATTCTATTCCTCAGCCTCTGGTCATCAAAGCAACAAAACCAGTCACCTCCACTTTTAAAACCATATTGAGATATTTTAACATAACCTGCCCATATTTTCAAATCTCTCAAACTTCTTGGAATGAAATGTATGTAATACAAGTATATCATTAGATTAAGCAATTTATCTAAACCTATCAGAACTCAACTCTTTAGTGTGAACTAATGAAAATAACAAACTGATGTTAATTGAAACCAAGCTCTAGAGAGCAATGAACAATGTTTGGGACTGAACACCTGATACTTAGCATGCTCCTACAGCAAGAAGAAAAACATTGATTTGATTGGCACTGAAGAAAGAAACTTTTGTTCAGATATCCACAGTGATTTGTAATACCACTTCTTTTTTAGCTGTCAGATTCTTGTGTTAAAGACATCAGCATATGTGTAAGTAAACATGGTAGCAGCCTGGCTGATTTCAATGCTTCATGCATATATATTGGGGTATATACTTATCCCTATGAAGGAACGAGGAGTAAATGTCATGGGATTTGAGCTAGAGAATGAGAGCGAGAGAAGATTCACCCAGGAAAAGTAGGCAGCAGTATGATCAGAAATGCAAAGTGAAATCCTGACTCCTTTGAAGTCAATTGTAAAATTCCCATTGACTTCAGTGGGGACAAGATTTCTCATCTGGAGTTTGTGTCTACTATATATTTGTGTAGCCGCGCGGCACGGGGTTCGAACTAGCCGGCATTTAAAAATGGCGCCGGCCGGCTTCATGCAAATGAAGCCCGGGAAATTCAAATCCCAGGCTTCATTTGCAATTGCGGATGACTACATTACCCCCGCTAGTTCGAACTAGCAGGGTAGTGTAGACATACCCTGAGGAAGTATCTCTACCTCTGCTATCTCACCTCATGTCAAAAGATGAACACTTCATTTTATATCCCCTGTCACTGCTCTTAGTCATCTCTAATGACTCAGCTTTACTAATGCACCTAGTTAGTCTCCCTCTCTCATCAAAGATAGACATACTGTACAGCACAAGCATTTAGAGTGTATCACACTTATTAAACCATAGCATCACTTCTCTGGTGCGGAGGTTCTCTCCTGACACCAGTGCTCTAGTGCTAAGGAACAGCCTGCTTTATAATGACTTGTATTCTTTTCCCTGTAACTGCTTTATGGTACTTTGTGTGGCATGGGCAGCATGAGCCTTACTTTCTGGCAAAATACCAAGCTATAGCCTTGCAGTTGCAGTTGTGTGGAGAAAGCACACTTGCTAGGACAACACGCAGCTCCTCACTGACAGAAAAACAAAACAAAACCCAGCTCTCCAGCTCATATTTCTAAGACTTTTGTGCTCATAGCTTGTCTTGAGTAAACCATCAGGTTTTCCTTGGCCATGCTCTCTATGTAGCCATAGAGCGTTATTTGACTCTCCTGGAGCTTTGCTAGGTTTTTTGTTATGGCAAGATGTACCCCACAAAAGTATTTTGATTGTTTCTATTCCTGCACTTCAATAAGTATTGTAAACTTGCATGATCGTATGTGTAATGCAATTCCCATGTGGCTTGGTGTTGAAATAATTAAAATGACCATTACGCAATGCTGTGCATGGGGTATTCTCTTCTAAGCCACACAGGAAAGAGGAAAAATGTAAAAGAGGAGTGGCTCTGTTCTGAATGAAATTGGCATCAGCTAATATCTGAGGTCAATGCTGAAACACTTATTAAAGGGTTTCTATTCAATCTCTTCTATAGTAAAAACTGTTCTTTCCTATTTCAGAAGGATTGTGGGTTTTTTTCTTGCTCACTAGATATTTGAGATGGTTACTTTCAATAGTGTTCTTTTGAATGCTGGAACAAAGCATTGCTATTTCACAGCTCCTGAGAAATGACAGAGCAGGGCTCCTTATACATTCTTCTATGGTGGACATTCTCTGACACAATGGAGCCTGTGCAGAAAGCACACTTTACCGCACTGTGTCATCCCATTGTGCCAGTAACAGAAACACTGACATTGCATCTTGAAATGTTGACACTTCTGAGCTCTCGGCAAACCCACCAAACAGTGTATTCTGTTTTCCCTTAGGTTTTTAGGGGTATTTTCTCAATAATGAATACCAACGTTGCCACAGTGCAGAGTCCATTTTGAAGTCCCTTCCAGTGCCAACCTCAATGATCTGTTCCCCCCAAATGGATTTTTAGAATTTGTGAACACAGGAAAGAGACCAGAATGTTCTTTCTGTGGTTCAAGAAAGTGGTGCATTTGGTAAACTGACATTTTTTAAATGTGACTATTGATTTGGGATCACTTTGGTTCACTAAGGTACAACTTGAGGCAGCCTTCAATGCTTGATTTTCAGAAAATGGTGAGCACCTGCCCTGGGAATATTAGCCCCCTTATACGTGTTTGAAACTGGGCATTCACAAATAGAGGCACATAAAATCAGTAGTCACTTTCAGAAAATCTTTGTCTGAATGTTACCAGCAGTTGTGCTGTTCATTTTGGGCAGGAGTAAAGAGGATTCTATAGAATAAGCCCCCATTTCCTCCTTCCCTTTCAAAGGCTCCACATTTAATCTCCATGCTTCTATCTGAGGCTATGTCTAGATTGCCGAGAAAAGTCAGAAAAAGATATGCAAATTGCAAACAAAAATTTGTGTATCTTTTTCTGATTTTTTTCTCCAAAAGAGGCTTTTCCGAAATGTGGCCCATCTACATGGGGTCAAATTTTGGAAAAAATCTCCTCTTTTGGAACATCCCTCATTCCTCTCACAGAGAGGAATACAGAGATGCTGAAAGAACACGTCTGCTTTTTGGACCTTTGGTATGCTGGAAAAGCTCTGCAGTCTAGACATAGCCTAAGAAAGCCAGGATGTGGCATTTCCACAGTTCAAGATGGAACATACAGAAGAAGATAGCTCAGGGGGAGAGCTGTGTAAAATATTTTTAATTTTTTTTAAAAATGACATTTGTTTGTTATTGAATGTGTGTAACTGG